ATCGTATAGGATTTGCCCTTTATGGCTGGTTAAAAAAAAAATCACGTCCCTTTCCTCTCTTTTTCACTCATTATTTCTTTCCCACTCTCTTTTAAAAACTGTGTGTTTTTTAGTTCTCCAGTTGTACCGAGTATATACGTTCAAGAACATTTAGAAATGTATTATTTTTTGACGTTCGGATCCATTGTTGTTGTAAAAAAACAATTTCGAAACGGACGTTCAGATTTTTATGTATTTGATTTTCGATCGATGTACAATATCGATTTTTGCTAACATTTTTTATAAGATTAAAATAAATTATTTCGTTCTGAATTCCGAACTGTGTTATTATATTCAGATTTATCTGTGAACATTGTATTTAACAATACAAGTACGCGTATTGATAAAAACAGATGTAACAGAAAATGTTTTTGTTATCATTCAAATCAGTGCATTTTTTAACTAGTTAACTAGGCGACACAAATGTTGCCTAGTGATTATACTCTGTCGACAGTATTTTAAAAAATTGGGAGAAATAATGCGAAACAAACGTGTAATACTATAATCGTACTATGGTATTATATATTGTCTATTTTGAGAAAAACATTTTTTGTCGCTCAGTGAAAATTCCTTATAAAATGCACTGATTCAAATGCATGTATTGGTGGCTTCAAACAGTGTAAAATTAACAAAATTTAACATTTCCGTATCGAATATTTATTCGATGTACATATTTACGAGAGTAACGCGTTATTTTACAATTTTTTCGAGTAAAATGCGTTCGTACCATGTTAATCTACGGATAAACTCGAAGGATTCAACATTCTTCCTAACATCAAAATCATGTGTCTATACTACAATGCCATATTCACGTGCCAGAATAACGAGAGAATGAAAATTTCCGAATTTAATACTCGAACACATACTCGTTCAGCCATATTATTGCGACACAGGACACATTTTGCGGTGTGACGCTTGCGGTTGTATAGCATTGTTAAAGTGTTTAACATGACGCGGGTTCAGCTTACCGTGGCAAATCTGTGGTTTTCCTGTGACCAGAGAAGAGAAGTGGGGAGATTGGAGAACGCCATTATGCTTACGTGTGTTTCATTGTCTCCCGCCTGCTCGCCCATTACATACTGGTCCCGCGGCCAATTTCGGCGCACACGAAACGCGCGTTTGAAAAAAAGTAACGGAGGGGCGAAACGGGGAAGGAAAAATAACCCAGAAAAACAAAACGATACTGCTGCTATATCTAGCCGTTATCGATCCGTCTCCAGTAACAATAATAATAACAATATAATAATGTACGAGATAATTAAATTTTCGCGTCGCTCTGTCATCGGATACGTTATGCACAACCATCTGGGTTACTGCAGCAGCACAACGTCATGACCCGGCATATGGGGCGCAGATAACGATCTTGGATCGCTACTTAAGCAATCTACTCATCCGCCGCACACCACCCGATGGCCGACCGGTCGATTTGTCACATTCAATTAGCCATCGGCCGTGGTGTGTCGTCGAGCGTTTTTACACAACCCGCAGCGGAGGGCGAGGTTCCTCGAGGGTAGATAGCTATCTCGACCGCGACCGCAGTACCTATACGTGTACGATACGCTGCAGTCGTCATTGCACAGACGACGCGTTTGTCAATGATATTATACTATATTGTATACATGTAGGAACGCTGTTCAATAGTGCAGAAGATGCGCATACAAGCACACACACACACACACACACACACACACACACATTTGTTTATACTATGTCAAGTTGTTCGACTGTAGCGGAGCAGATCCCTCCGTGATGTTGCGCACAAAAATCTCCGAAGGGGTAATGATTTCGACGGGTTTTCCGGTCGAAAATGGAGTCGGCCGGTTCGGTGTATGTATACGTATAATACACGATATAGTATATTACGTACACGTATACGCGGGCGCAAGGAAAGTGACTCGGTTGGAGGAGACGATGGTGGTGGTGGTAGCGACGACGACGACGATGGCAACGGGTGCGTGTGTGTGTATGTGTATGTGGATTCTCAAAGGGTCGGGAAGAAGTGAGCGAGAGAGAAAGAAAGAGAAAACGAAGAAGGGAGAAAGATCGATATCGAAAAGAATCCAGCGCACGTCTTTTTTCGCCGGTCCCTTACGCGCATATAAACAACACACGACGTTCCACAAAAGCGTTTTTCTTTTATTTTACACACGCCCGCGCGTATATATTATTTTCGATGTCTCGGAATACAACAATTATTTCTTTTCGATTTTGTCAACGCGCGTATGAATAAACGTGCTCGGCACATACTTGTTGATAAAGTTGTACTAATAATATCGATAATAATTGCAAAAGTAATGTTGGCAATAATAATATTAGTACTGGGCTCGTTCCCGAGAATTTGTCGTGTACACGGTTTGCGCAATAATCGCATCTGTATATTTTGACTTGAACGTTCGCGCTCGATTTAAACGGTTAGAAATGTACGGTGGCGGTGGCGGCTGTGAGACTTTCCACTGTGAAATGTTATTTTCGGACTGACTCGTATATTGTTAAATGCGTTGGAAACGAGAGGGACGTGACGACCGGTGCGGGTCATTGAGTCATCGAGTCATCGCGAATCCGCGTGAGCAAAGTGTTATCGTTTTCGGATTAGCCTTTTTCGGCTCGATCGCACGGAAATGATAAATGGCCGTATACGCGCGTCCGTGTGGGTGAAATAAAAAGACTGCGCTCCGCGAGGGTGTGAAAAACGCACGGAACACAACAGGTTGCGCGTTTCCGCGCGCGACTCTATCAAGATAATGATATTAATAATAATAACACGACCCGGTGATTTTCGCTGCACAACAGATGTGCGCTGCCGGTCCTTCCGTCTCGACTCCGCAGGGCCGCCGATGATTAACAGCCGCCGGTGACGGCGGCGTTGCGACCAGGGTCCAGGACCAGATCGAGGACTGTGCGCGCGCCGTAAACGACAACGCGACGACGATGATCGATAACAATGCGAGTTTAGTGAAGCTTAAACATTGTAATGTGTTGTGTGTATTATTTGACGTTCAAGGGTCCGGTCGGGGTGGGTTCTCTTGACGATGAATATTTTAAATAGAGACGTGTACAGCAGTCGTTGAACATTTATAGTGTATCGCGTTACAAGGGGTGTCATTGCACGTGTATTTTTATAGTTGATTGGGCGTTCACTGTTAATATATTACTGTAATAATATTAATAATAATAATAATGATAAAATATCTATATTTGTTGCTACATGTACTATAGTACGTCTATGTATATATACATCCAACCGCGGTTTTTACATTTGTTTCTACATTGATGTTGATATTAATACAATTAAATTATTTGTCACGTAATCAATTTTTTTTTTAAACGTCTTGTATTATGTATCAACCGTAAAGGTTTTAACGCTTGACAATTCGTTGTAAGCGTATTACAATAACGTTTTATTAATGCATATGTTTGCACACATCATTTAGGTATACCAAAACTAAATAAATTAAAACCTTGTGATAAAAAATTTTAAATTTATTGTATTTTAAATTGGTAGAGTTATTAGAATATGTTTAATTCTTAATATAATATTTATCTAAAATATTTAAATAATATATACTTTATATTTTGCTTTCGTACATTTATTACTACATTTATGTAACTACTTATTTTAAAAGTGGAAGATAAAAATTATTAGTTCAGTACGACAATATCTAATCGATATTATGTAAATTAAATGACTAACAAATAAATCGTTAGAGTGATGCAATAAAAAGTAGTTGATAAAAGAAAATAGAAAAATTGACCGAAAAATTTGGTACTTAAAAAAATAATTTTATGTTGTATAAAATATAATTAACTGTATACATACAAATTATGATGGTTTCAAAACAAAATCGTTGAATGTACATAATACAGCGTATACACAACGTACGAGTTATTTGGCTTCCGGATGAAAATGTTTAGCGTTTGAGATTTTTCAATGGTGATATAATCAAAATAATTGTTATACATAATAATTTAATATATACGTATATACGTGTATACAAAGAAAAATAGTATAATCGTAGTACATATAAATATATATATATATATATAGCTACGTAGGTAATAGATATTATCAGTAATTCGAATCGGATATTTCTCAACGACGACGAGAAATCATTACGTAATTACCCGTTGTCGTTTTCTCTCCAAGTCCTTCTTACTGTTCCATGACGAATTTTAAGAATTCGCGTTTGATTCGTTCGCACCTACCACCTGCACGCAATTCTGCATCAGCTATATTAATACAGGTACGTGATATTTGCATTGTGATTAACATTAACATTTTAACGACAGATCGCGAAACCGTGTCGACATCAAAAGTTAAGAGTTCTGTTTGATATTGTTCGCAATTTCGGCCGCAATAATAGCAGCAGCAGTAGCGGCAACAGAAGTAGTGCCTACTTGATGTGCACTGCGACGGTGTATGTGTACGGTACAAGGAGTTTTATTAAAACGCCTATACGAATCCCACGGGTGCAGTCGGTCCTACTACTTTGCGATTAATAAAAACATACACTAAAACCGGCCCCCTCTCGTGCGTTCCTATTCCAATCCCTGGGCGTTACACCCTTTTTATTGTTATTGCTTTCTATCACCATCTAATCATGTAATCTCTAATGGCCCCTCGATCAAGTTACTGTAATAACTCAGTGGTCTTTATCTTAATCAAACAAGTTGTTGAATTTAAAATAAAGGGAAAAAAAACCCGATGTTTATACGGCATATGGGCTGTTACGATGTCAACGCGTATGTAAAAGAACAAAAAAATTGGACACATTTTTGTAAATCGTATTTTAACTACCGAGCGCATAATAATTAATGTCATAGTGATCATAGATATGATCTCTGATATGATATTATTTGTATTTCCTCGTACAACATATATCACAATGCGTTTATTTTTATGTGGGGTTTGTTTTTTCTACAATCATTCGCAAAGCGATTGGTTCGTAATAGGTAAAGCTTACCGGTTGATCGACGAAACGCTGGGCACGTTGTCTTGAGTGCAAACGCCTTCGGCCAACAATCTGTCTCGGATCTCCCATGCAAACATCGTCGGGTTTTCTCGCTTGTAGTTTGCTATGGAATCCACTACGGGCGCGGTGGCCACTTTCGGTTTGCTGCCTCCAATCACGCCGGCTTTGAAACTTCCGGTTTCGTAGTATCTGCGAAAAACCGAAACGGAATAACATTAATGTTACATGCATTGCGATTACGGAACACGTTGTATCACAATACATTATACGGTCGCGCACGCACGTGTTCAGTTCGTGGTGATTATTTGGCTTTCTGCAAAAGGCACACTTCCGCGCGATAAAAAAAAAAAAAAAAACAATGTCCTTTTTACCATATGAAAGGCCTTCTGCACGCGATGTGGTGCGGTCGTCACCGGGATATGGAAAATGACCGTTGGTCATTATATGCATATGAAGATGCCCTACTTCCGGGACACGATCCCGTTCAAAACAAAGGAGTTTGAGATTATTTATTATACTAATAACACATATACTGTACGCACATAACATTATCTATTATCATTGTGTTCGGAGGAAGATTGTAATATTTATTTATTTATTTTTATTTTTCGTCCTTTTCACGTTTCGCGGTATAGAAAATGCAGATTTTAGTCTATTCATGTAGGTCCGACCATTGTTTCCGGTGCTTTTAAAACTGACTGCGGTGTCCGCTGAAAAGTATACATTTGCATTCCCAGCGTGGAACTTATAAGTTATAATGTCAGTGTTTTCAATCCAAGTATTAAAATGCAAGCGTAAATACGCAACGGTTGGGTTCGGTGTTTTTTTTTTTTTTTTAAGAAAAGAATCGAATGTCGAAAATAAAATCAACGCTTGCTCAAAACGGTTCGATTAACACACGCCACCGACGCCCGCACGGTGATCTCGTGTGTTGACAATGTAACGTCTCGGCGCATTAAAAACGCAAAGTTTAAAGCGGCTTAATTGGAACAAACGAGTCGTTAAATTAGAACTGTGTTTCGAAAGCGTCGCGGATGTTTTTTCGACCCCAAAATCTACGCGTGTACCCAAAGCGGTATTTATAGTGCACGGCAGTTTGTCAATGTCTACACCTGAGCCAAAATCACGACGAGAGTCGAAAATAATACGATCCGGCACACACCGCACATCGCGCGCGCATAATATACGAATCACATATAAAGATTTTACAGTAATTTTTTTTTTCTGAAAAAATTTCCGCCACTCGGAATATTAATAATAATAGTAGTAGTAGTAGTAGTAGTAATAGTAATCATTATTATATTTTTGGCCGCGTTCGCGCCGTCACCGAAGACGACGATGCTCGTCTCAGCCCAGCACTACGATAATAAATCTATACCTATACAACGAATGCGTGTGTAAATTGTAATTGCAATTACATTAAAAATAATTTCATTTATTTACGACCACATGCGCGGCGTATAGAACGCAGACAATTGAACGTAAAATTATTATGTTGCACTATGATCGCCGACGATGTATGCGCGACAGCCGTAAGCCCGATGGAACGGAAATATGAAAAAACTGTGCACGGGTGGCGAGGGCGTAATTTTATCCAATTTATAACGGGTTACCGAGAGAACTTGACGTCAAAAGGTATTTATTTTTTTCGCCGTTCAACGCGATTATTGAAATTTAGAAATCTACAGGTACTCTTCGGTGGATATCAATCGTCTGTACGGAGTCCTGTGAGTTTTTCGGACGTGGTGATGTAAGATATTTACCGTGGTATCACTATTATTTATTTATTAACGAGGATCTGATCTATTCTCTTACAAAGTGTAAATTAAAATAACATATTCTGACTAAACAATACAATAACAACTAAAAGAAAAATTGATAATAATGTTATAACTATATAGATAAGTGAAGAATTAGGACAAAAAAATAATTATAATAACATAATAATAAAAGTATGATATATAAAAATTCTAAACTAAAAGGTAAATAACAATAATATAGCTAGATACAAAATTAAAAAAAAAAACCATCCATAAATTGTATCGTCAAAAAATAATAAAATTAAAACGTCAATTAAATATTTAATTTAATTTTAATTATTTTTTTCTTTTTATTATTGTTATTTTCTACTTTTCTATTGTTTGGATCTTTTTAAGTAATATCATTGATTTCGCTTTAAAACTATTACGGGAAAGAAAAAATATATCCAAATGTGTACACATTTTGTTAGCTAAAATTAACGCTTGAGAGATAAATTAATTGGTACCACCATTAGTTTTATATTAAGATACTAAATATACATTTGAATTACATGTATTTTTATATGAAATTAGAATACCAATTTCAGATAACAATTCAAACAATATTATAGTTGATAAAATTAAAAACAAACATTATATGAGTTAATTTGCATTTAAGTGAAAGGGGAACAAGGCCAATATAATCTTGAGTTAGATGTAGAGAGTCTCTAGAAAAAGAAAAGATGTACATATATAAAGTTTTTAAATAAAATGGATTACTAAAAATCTTTAGTATTTTTATTAATAAAGCCTAGCATTTTAAACGCTTAATTAATTATCATTTTATGATTAGTTTTAAAAGAAAGATCATTTTTTAAATATATGCCAAGATCTTTGATTAATTTAACTCTAATAAGTGGACTAAGTTCAATATTATAGATAGATAAAATTGGATTTTTGCTATGGGAATACGATATAATATAACATTTATCTATATTCAAAGGTAATAAATTTATTTTACCGGACGGACAAGTGTATCAGTGAACCGACCGATGCCGATGCGCTCTTTTTCTTGTCAACGTAATCACTTTTGAATTTAGATATCCGGTCGAAACTGTACGACGTCAAATACGGAAAATTAAAAAAAATCTCAATTCAGAACATCAATGCGGAGTCGTTTTAAAAATGTAATCGTTTTCGAAGTTGAAATTTCAAAGTACGGAGATTATAGCAGAAGTATTCAAATATATATTATATATTATATCGCCTGATTATGTGCGTATGAATATACAATAACGATACGTATTGAAAAATATTTGTATGACACGTGGCAACTGTACGGTTCTTAGAACCGATTTGGTTATTAGCTGTCCCGCGAATACGTATAAAATCTATAGGAAAGAACGCGACAGGTCTTACGAATCGATTGAGCACGTAAGGTCCTGGGGCCTAAAACATTTTGAAACTCATATTTTTTTAAAACATAAATAATTATTACGAGCTGTTATTACTCGTAATTTAAAGAAAATAAAAATATATAAAATTATGGTATTTTGTAAACATAATGCGATTTTTGTTAATTTGGAGCCCTTCAAATTCCGAGGCCCCGGCCTGGACCCGTACCTTAAGACGGCGTAGCTCAAAAATGTAATAGTAATATTCACGCGGTACAATGACGCGCCGTGTGCACAGTTCATTAAACATATGAATACGAATTTAAACCGTCGCGACCGGTCGACCCCGCCGCGACGAATGTCGTCAAAAACGAACGCGGGCGCGCGTACATGTACACCAGCGTCAACGAATTTATCAATATTATATACGGTCCCTGCTGGCGCGCGCGGTGGCGTATCATAACCCTTTTGGGTCAGAAATCATAATCGAGAGTCGCATTGTTCGCGCGCGGGGCGTACAACAATTTTTCACGGTTGTTTTTGCCGCCGCGGTCTGCGCAGTCGACCCCAGTATAATAATAATGTGTAATTTCGCCGCGCGCTGCGGTGTATATAGCTAACTCAATTTTGCACTTAGCCCGGGCACGCGCGCGCAGACAGTGACATTTTCCAGAAGCCGTTGTAGGATGTGTTTATATATACGTATAATATACGCGGGTTCGCACCGCGGTTAATGTTATTAAAATTCGCGTCGTCGTTGGGAGGACTGTGTGTGTGTGTGTGTTGTCATTGCAATCTTTTGCGAGGCAATTTCCTTGCACCCAAATATATCTAACCGTTTTAACTTGACAAGTTTTGGGCCCTCGAATTCGTTTCAAGTCCGAGGCACTAGACAATTGCCTAAGTTACTCGCTCGCTAACGTCGGCGCCATGGCTGGTACCGAATTGGTTCCCGAGATCCAAACCCACGCACCGAATTGGTTCCCACCTGAAAAAGTTATTTTATTAGGTATAGCCGAATTAGTTCTCGTTTGAAAAAGGTATTTTATTAGGTATAGCCAAATTGGTTCCCGTTTGAAAAAGGTATATTATTAGGTATAGTCAAATTGGTTCCCGTTTAATTACGCACATTTTCCTTTTTAATTTTATAGGCTTAGGACTGTCAACTTAAAAGTAGGTTTGATTAATAATGTGCGTTAATGTGTGTTAAAAAAAAAAAATTATAAAATATATACAATTTTAAATCATTGATTTGAAAGTCAACTAGTCATCACTTAGGTATACAAAATATAAATAATAAAATATAATAAATACAATTTAAAACCACTGATTTGCAAATTTGAAGCTAACTTTCTTTAAATATTCAATTCTCGTAATTTTCTCATTAATGTAATCTATCATACAATTTTCTAAGTATTTGTTATTTCTTTCCTGTTTGCTTGTAATTTGCTAGTCTCTAGTAATCTATAGTCTTCTATATTTCTATACTCTATCTTATAGATATAATAATTGTGACTATTATTATGTCATAAATATAGTTTTTAAAATTTTGTTTTTTGCTCTTTATGCACTGGCCCGCTGGATTTTAATTTTTAACATTGTAAGTAAATTATTTTAAAAATTAAAATTGTCCTTATTTTACCTGTACACAAACGGGAACCAATTCAGCTATACCTAATAAAATGCCTCTTTTAAACGGGAACAGATTCGGCTATACCTTATAAAATACCTTTTTCAAACGGGAACCAATTCGGCTAAATGGGAACCAATTCGGTTACTCCCGGCGCCATGTGTGAATGTGTACGAAGACTGCAACGGAAGAGAAATGAGATTGAACCGGAGTCGATATCTTATTCAACATTCGTTGACGATACGCAACTACGGTATGTCAAACTTTGATATCTCGAATGCGTTATATTATGTATAATACTACTTAAATTATAAATAATATGTAATTATATTCATCGGTATAAGGGAAAAGGACGATTACCGTACGAGGTATTCGATCGCGTTTTAACCGATTCGCATCCTGATGCGGATTTCAACATGATAACGCTTACGTTTATGACGGCTGACCAGATCGTCTACGCGTCCGTAACAACGATAATGAGATCGAAAAATCCGTGTTCGATTTTCGACTAAACTGTTTTCATACTGTTGTGTAGGTTATAATATCGCGTTTAAATATAGATTTTCGAATCGGGCGATTCTGCTGCAGAATAAATGCATTGTGCGGCTGGTACAAGCAATTTATATACACATACAGACGCGAAATGAAGTTTGCGTACTTGATAGTATTAATATTATTTTTTCGGTAGGTCCACTTGTGCCTTAATGCATAATGCATGTAATACTGGTGGCACGCGTAACCCGTTTCCGCGAACAAAAAAAATAAATGGCAAAAAGATTCACGTACACTGCGCATAAAGCCTACGGACGAGAGAGAACCGGAGAGTAACATAAAAATTAATAGCGGCGACATGGTTTTTACGACCTCTTCTATATTTTATTAGGGTACGTTTGTAAAAAAAAAAAAAAAAATAAGCATATATATATATACGTATAATATAATATTATTGTTATACGGGGACGATATTGTCACGGGAAGAACCGGAAGCGAGGGAAAACCCGTGGACATCGGGTTGCGGTCGAGGTTCGAAAGAGTAGATCCATTATCTTGGTTCCGGTGTACTATGGTAATTGTTTCATATTGAATTGGACATTGCTAAAAAATGTTTTGTATACATGCGTTTCGTATACTGTACATTATACACATTCGCAGATGCGGTGTACACCAGAAGAGAAAGGAAATCGTCCTTGATATAAAAAGTTGCGACTGCCATTTATAATGTAAAAGGTTTTTAATCCTGGGGTAAACAATATGAATCGCACTGCTATGATAAGTCGACAACACGAAAAATGTTCCAAAAGTACAAAACAAATATCTCGCAATTCATTTGTCAATTAAGTGCAGCGAACAACCGTCGCAATCGCGAATGCAAACGTGAGTTTGTATCTGTGGGACTAAAATTGCAGTTTATCGTCGTTATACCGTCGTAATATGATAATATCATATATTATAATCTATTAGGATTCACGATTTTTAGAGCAATGGTCCCGAGTTAGTATTAATCCACGTGAACGCTTTGTGTACATCTCATTACTTTTTTTTTTTGTATGTGATTTTGAAAAAAATAAATTATTAAGATTTTTTTTAATTTGAGACATATTTTACTGTAACCTTAGTTACTGTAGAAACCTTGGAATTCCATGGACTGCCTATTGGGAACTAATTGTAATGTAGTAAGATAATCGGACGTGTACTCAAACTCTTTATAGTCTAGTTCTGTTTTATTTTCTAGTTCTAGTTTTTTTTTTTTTTTTTTTATTTATTTATTGAATTAACGCCCGATAGGCTTAAGAGTTATGTTGTGTTTCATGATGGAATATTGAATAAGATCGGGAATAATATTGTGGTACATGGAAAGGGATTTGCAGCAGATCGGAATCACCGATGCACCTGATCCACTCGTATACACAAATCGTTTCGCAATTACAAAACACATTATTATTATTACCTGGACAATATTTTCGACACGCATCCATGAGAAACTCTGAGCTGTCTGGATATGTCGCACGGCCTGGTTCCGTTGTGAGCCAGTTCGACTATCCTTTGCCTGACCAGGTCCGGTAACGGTCGACCGTTTACGAACACTCCACCCAGTTGATTTACACCGCCGTGACCTGCAAACGACGATAAACAATAATAATCTGTTAGTCGGTGTATAAACATATATTTATATTTCTACATTAAATATGCACGTATGTATAATATATAATATCGCGGTGAGCACACATACATACAAACATACATATATATATATATATATATATATATATATGTGTGTGTATGTGTGTGTGTGTGTGTGTGCACGTCGAACATCCTTGGCGGACGTCGTCGGTGCTCGCGAACAAAACAAAAGGATCGATTTCATGTAATACGCGCGCAGTTATTGTCGTGCGTATTATTATTATTCTCGGAGATATGTATATGTAATAGTAGTGCTATAATACACGCGTATACATTATATCGTATACATAATGTCACATGAGTACGATTTGATTGCCGCGTTATATCCTTCGTTCGCATACACCATTACATTGTGTACGATTGCTGCAGCGTACCGCAAAAATGAACGCGTTCGGGACGACCGATAATTTTTAAATCGGAATACATGCGCGCATCGAAGTTTGTAAGTACGTAAAATGACTTGAATCGAATACCGCAATCACGTACCGTCCCGTTTTTCCATTCTATATTTATGTACCGCTACATTTGTTATAGCAATATTTTACATTGTTCCTACGACTACGTTTTCATTGCGTTTCAACATTCTTAGTCGAGCCCGGACGAAAGCAGTTAGATCGTAACTCTTTGCCCCGACCGAACTAAATACGACTAAAGTTTAGGTATTTTCAGGGTACGGTGTTGTGCTACTGGCAAGACTTTTCGTGTAACCGTTTCGCCTTGGTTATACGGAAATAAAAGAAAAACGATTAGATCGATGAACACGGGTGTGATATTTGAGACTGAGGAACAACATGGGTGTAACGTGTTCGGACAGATATAGGATCGCTGTTGCTGGTGACCGCGGCCGAGCTTTTCAGGGTTAGACCTCGTCTTGAAACGATACGGTACGCACGAAGTTTGTCATTTCAAATCGAAAACATCTGTGCCGTCGGTCGGCGGTTTAACGCGCTCACAATCGTCTCGCGTCCGGGTGCATGCACAATGCGCGATGATGACCAGTAGGTGGTGGTCGGCCGGACGGACGAAAAGCGTAAAAGGGTCGGTAGTCCATAAACAATGCCACGGAGGCACAGTGATCCGAGAATCTTGTCCGAAAAATCTATGTCGTGCTGAGTGTTTACGTGTTTGTGTGCATGTTGCTTTCCGTGTGTATACGGTAGTGTACAATAAACACACCGTACACACGTATATACACACATTTACACGCGTGTGTGGCGTTTACGCGACTACAAACAGCACTGTGCGCGCGTATCAGATGGTCTAACGAGATAATCTCGTTTGGGGCTTTGCGGGGGTCGGTCGGTCGGTCGGTCGGCGGTGGCGGCGGCGAATTAAGCAGATTATCCTCGAGTGCTGCCACCGACGATGGGGTTAAGAGGGCGGTGGCTATTAAGGGTCGACGCATGTTGCGGCCTCTAAAGCCTCCGCGCCGCCGCCGCGAAAACAATAAACCTCTGCTAATTCATATACCGCGCGGCTACACCATACGTACACGTAGAGAGAGAGAGAGAGAGAGAGAGAGAGAGATGTGCACTCGACGAACGACCCCAATTGTCGGCCTTGTAACGCCATGTATAAAATTTAAACCACTTGGCCACGAACATTATGATAATATACTATTACACACATTTGTTATCGACGTAAAAGAATCTTTTTTTTTCAAAAACAATTCTACTCACACGTAATCTATAATAGGATGATACATTTATTCATATATACACGTACATCTATATTGTAATATATACAGAGACTGCACTATATACCGCGGAGGTCCGACGAAAATTTATAATTTTTATTTTGTTCTGATCATTCGAACCACTATCGCAGCATCGTATATAATTTAATTAAATTATATACATATATGTGTATGGTGTAGCCGAATGATCGATACACAAATAAAAAAAAAACTAAAAATATTTCATTGGCGCGTGCATTTAAAGATAAACCGGTCACATTGGATAGGTTTTTGTTGCGAAAACAATCAGTATAACTTTTACAACACGGAGATTGCAGTTTTATCCCTGTTAAGAGTGTTTGGCCATGGGGGATTACTCGCCCTTGTTGCTTTTAATGAATCTACCCTTCAGAATCGAGTGTCGATTAAAGGGCCACGCGCCCGCACTCCACTCGACGTGTGTGTGTAATGTATTGGACGTCCCGTGCCCGAAATACTATCACGATATTGCACCGAAGTACTACGGGATTATTAAAATCGAAAATCTATCTTCCGTAAGCGTGATCTATGCGGTACTACCGTAGAAAATACCGTGGCCGTTTGGCACCATTGTTGTTCGCTTTAATGGTACCGTAACGCAACGGCCGCGGGTCGTGAATACTCGGAGTTTCGGAAACTTTCTAGTCGCGACTGCATACCGTGTAGAAAATCACGTCGACCACTGTACGGATGCATCGTCGTTTTCGTTTCATGACCAAAGCGATCGTCTACGAATTTATACGTAACACTGAACCCGCGAACAATCACCCGATCGTTTCCGCGTTAATCACTGCATTTAAATGTGTGAGACACACCGGCATGACGTCCCAGCGCACACGGAATAGGTGAACTCTATGGTATACCGACAACAAAAATAGCTTCATGCAGCGGCGGTAATATTCGTGGTTAATTAAATCTTTTATTTTTGGGATACAAAAGCGAATATTCGTCTGGTCCGCAAGACAATCAACAGTCGTTGTCGTCTCCGCTCGAACGGACCGCGAAGCGATCTTAATTGGAATGGAACCAGATACTGTGCCAGGAGCGTCGCATACGTTAAGGCTACGTATGCCAATCAAGTCGAAGCGCGTTTCTCTTTCACGGATAATTTCAGTGTTGGTAGGTACGCAGGGAGTTTAAAACGGGAAAAGGAAAACAATAATTAGCGTTACGACGTTTCTAGCGTGCGTGTACATAAGTACACAGGGCGAACCGGCGAAATCGTGTCGTCGCCGCTCCGCGATTGACAAACGATCGCTGAAAAGCACCTCGCACACCCTGAATATCTATTTATATACATATTACATATATATATATATATATATATATATATATATATGTATGTGCGCGTGCTCCAGCGACCTTTTTCGCGTGAGGTACGCGACAAATCGATTTAGTCGCATAATCGACGTGACGACCGGGAGTGTTTGTTCGAGCTGACGCGCTCGACTACACCAACAGAATAATTGACAATAAGCATATATATATATATATATATATAAATAGTTGTTGTTCGGGTGTATTAAGATTATAACGTATTGGAATATAGAGATGCGCGAAACGTGCGGGTCACACCATAAGAAAAACAAAGCGTTTTCGCAGCATTTACGACTTGGTACACGTAGCGGCTAAGGTTTTGGGGCCTAATGCGGTGGACCAAACGATTTTCGACCGGATAAAAATCGGAAAATCGAAAAAACGATTGTAATTGGTTCGGAAGGTAAAGGCAAAAAAGGAAAAAAATTCGACGACGAGTATACAAATCGAGAGACGTAGAACAATCATATCGGCTGCGACGGATCAGGTTAGGGGTTTCGACCGGAGAACGATACGACAACGACGCGGCACATCGTATCGTCTTCATGTCGTGCGAATCGTAATACATAAACCGTGTACTGTTTCCTGACGGACGAGCAACGCGGGCCAAGGGCTACTCACACGTGTAGTACTCCATCATGTTCTGGTTATACCGGTACGCGGCCGTGGACAGGTCCATGGCGGGCCTGAGGGCGGAGAACAGTCCGATGTTGGACGGATCCAGTTTGGTGGCGGCCGCGCCGAGTTCACCGACAACGGAATCGCCGCCGAGCACCATGCCGGCACATAACACGCGAGAGTCGGGACCGGCGAGGCCGGAGCTGTACAGGACCGATGCGGCAGCGATTGGACGACAACGAGAATGACGGAAATGCGCGATGGACGGGATCGCACGACCGCGACGACGGTAACGTACGCGACTACGGGCGCGATAACGGCCACGACGGTAGCGACGACGGTGTGCGTGTGTGCGCGCGCGACGACGTGCACAATATGTGTGTATCCGCCGCCGCCGTCGCCGACCGGCCGGGGTGGCTTATGCGCGGCGGCGGCGGCGTCCGTGTCGTCGTCGTCGTGGTGCCTATGCGGCCGCCGCCGCGGACCGGTGGGCGGGACAAAGGGATTCACGCGGTGGGGACGACCCCCTCCATACCGTCGTCGTGTAACGCACGGAGTCTGATTTTTCGTCTTTTCCTCCGCTGCCGCACGACCCCCCGTCCGGCGTCCCTGTTCTATTTCCTACGCACGATGCGTTCTCCTGCCGTGGCGGACACCCGGGAAAACCGACGGACACAGTGTGAAGCGCGGAGAATAGATTTAAAAATATAATAATAATTATGATAATAAAGTTTTTTTTTACCCCTTTTTCTCGTTTCAATTTCATGTACGTTTGTTCGGACGGATGCGAAATGAAAATTTCATCAACCGATAGCAATTAATAACCAAACCGCCCGCGCATGATTATTTCGTAGGCTAATATTGATGACAGTTTCGAAGTAACGGATGTCACAGAAAACCGAGGGAAAACATCTCGATAAATGCGCGTCGTATCCGCGTGTAACCGTAAATATTCGAAAACCCATAACAACCTACTCTGGTATGTTATGATGTAGGTTTTGATTTTTTTGAGCCCCCAACACCGGCAAAAAGCTCCTCCGCCGCCATCCGAATGCACGTCGTGATCGTCGTCTCGTAGTCGCAAGAGAGAGAGACGTCGGGGCGGCGGCTGCCGATGACGCATGTGCCGAGCGGAGGCTCCTGTAGAACCCTTCACCATTGGCCAATGGGCGGACCGGAAACACGAAAACGCTTTACGTACGCTTTTTTCACCCTTCTCTTTCTCTCTCTCAGTCATCCCCTCCCGACTGTGTAGCTCGAATACGCGCAATCACATACTGTATA